GGCGCAGGACGGTTGTCCCGCTGCCTGCTGCTGCCTCCCCGCCCCCTGCCCCCCCCTTCCTGCTGAGCGCCACCCTGTCCCCTCAGGTGCAGCACGTGGTGTCTCAGAACTGCGACGGGCTCCACCTGCGGAGCGGGCTGCCGCGCTCGGCCATCTCGGAGCTCCACGGGAACATGTACATCGAGGTGAGCAGTCCCCGGGCCGGGGGGCCAGGGGGGCCAGCGCCCCCACTCACCGTGCCCTCCCTCCTCAGGTCTGCACGGCCTGCACTCCCAACAGGGAGTACGTGCGGGTGTTCGACGTGACGGAGCGCACCGCCCTGCACCGGCACCAGACGGGCCGGGCCTGCCACAAGTGTGGGGCGCCGCTCCGCGACACCATTGTGCACTTCGGGGAGAGGGGGACCCTGGGGCAGCCTCTGAACTGGGAGGCAGCCACCCAGGCTGCCAGCAAAGCAGACACGATCCTGTGTTTAGGCTCCAGCTTAAAGGTACACAGACGGCACTGCGGGTGGGCAGGGAGCGAACCTGCTGGCAGCTGGCCGGCGCGGCATGGAGCCCAGCTTCCTGTAGCTTGTTCCCTGGTGTGTGTGTGTGTGGTCTGTCTGTCCCTCCGTCCGTCCGCACAGGTTCTAAAGAAGTACCCATGCCTCTGGTGCATGACCAAGCCCCCCAGCCGGCGGCCCAAGCTCTACATTGTGAACTTGCAGGTAACTTGCTGCCCAGAGGCACCTCCTTCACCCCTGGGATGCCCCGCCCTGCACTCACGCACCTTGGGGGGCTAGCCGAGTAGGCCCAGGCCGCGGGCATTGGAGGACTGAGCTGCTGACCTCACTGGCCTTCCCCTGTCCCCAGTGGACCCCAAAGGATGACTGGGCTGCCCTGAAGCTCCACGGGAAGTGTGATGACGTCATGCAGCTCCTGATGGACGAGCTGGGCCTGGAGATCCCCCCCTACAGCAGGTAAGGGGGTGCAGGCGCATGCCCCCCTCCTGCCCCTGTGTGGATGGGACATGTCTGTCTGCTCTCGAGCTGAGCCTAGAGGAAGCTCTGAGGTGTTGCACGCAGTATTTGAGGCGCGACTGCAGGTGGTGGCCTGCAGGGGCCAGCCAAGGTCCCTGACTGATGGGACTCCCTGCGGGAGAGGGAGTCGGCCGTGTGTGTCTGGACGTTCCCCCTTTACCTCAGACAGCCTGGAGGGGAGGCCCCCGAAGGGACGTGCTCTCGGCAATCCTAGTCCAACAGACTCGTGCACTCGGTTTGGGGAGCTGGCAGACTTGGGGAAGCTTAAAGAAACTGTTCCTTAATGCAGAACTTGTGATAATTTAGACATGGTGTATGTGTTGAGTAAAAAGTTTACACTTTCTTTCTCTGTGAATTTTCAGGGTCTTATAGGGGAAATCAGTAACTTCTTTTAATCAAAGGGTTCAAGAATTAAGGATCCCTTCACCTTCTGGGCCTGGCAATTCTTGTATGTTATGTTTGTGGTGTTCTGTAATGTGGGCCTATCGTGTACTGTACTTTTTTTTTTACATTAACTTAGCTCATTTTCCTTATCAGTGCTTATCTGTATCTTAAGTTTATAATATGTGGTTCTACATCTCAGACACATGACCTCACCCGGGAGCCCGTAGGCCACACGTCCCTAGTCAGCTGGCCTTCCCACCTGCCAAGCCTCACCGTCTGGGAAGGGGGAGAGGGTCCGGTCCCCCTGCCCCTGGCCGTGCGAGTGAGAGGTGGGGCCCAGAGCTGCTAGTGCCTCATCCCTGCTGGGACGACCGCCTCCACCTGCGCGTGCCGCCGTAGCCGCCGAGGACACGCTCTGCCGAGGCGGAGCGAGGGGGGAGCTTCCCCCTCTTGCGGCTCAGGACGGGGGGCTACCTCCATGCAAAGCCCGCCACGGTTCAGACAGGGCGGGAGCAGGGTCACTCAGTCAGCGTTCCTGTCCTGGGCAGGCGGTGATGGCGGCTCCCGGTCACACTGACCCCGCTTCCCCTTTCGGCAGGTGGCAAGACCCCATCTTCTCCCTGGCAACCCCCCTGCGGGCCGGTGAAGAAGGCAGCCACAGTCGGAAGTCGCTGCGCAGAAGTCGAGAGGAGCCCTCGCCTGGAGACCAGGGCGCACCACTCAGCTCAGCCCCCATCCTAGGTGGCTGGTTTGGCAGGGGCTGCGCCAAAGGCACAAAAAGGAAGAGAGTGACATAACCTGGTGCTCGACTGAGAACAGCAGTTGGCACTTTGCAGATGGCTGGACCTCGGATCCAGGGGCTGGTGGCACCCAGCACGCCGGGAATGCCCCGCAGTCCAGTGAGAATGCTCTGGGGTGACATTGTCACGGTGACACGCTTAGCCATTTGTCCTGGTGGGGAGCCCCCTTGCACTGCTGCGCTTCCCCGCCTGCTCCCCCACCGGGGGCCTGGGTGCTGACGAGTGGCCCATCCAGTCTGTCCTGGAGGTGGCAGCCACGCCATCCTGTGGGAACAGAACTCGGGGTACATCACACCTGGCCAGCCAAGAGGAAGCACTCGCTGCCGTGCCTCCTCCAGGCCAGTCTCAGGGGCCTCAACCCTATTTCTACTTCCTATAAAAATGACAACTTTATAGCAAACCTTTTTCTGTATCGGTATGCGGCCTCAGCAGACCTTTTTGTTGCTAATAAACATCTCTGCGCTGTCTCCCCGCATCACTGCGTGTCTGCCCTCGTGTCGCTGTGGGAGCCAGGGCCCCGCTGGGCTCCTTGCCGGGGCGGGAGGTACTCTGGGTGGTTCTGCCCCGCGCCCTCCGCCAGGTACGGGCCGAGGGACGGCGCGCGTACGCCATTGGCTGCAGGCAGAGGGAAGG